TTTTCGTCGACGATCAATTCATCATATATGTACTTATTCTCTTTACATTATAGACCAGCACTCAAATAGATGATTGACAAATCATCTATTTCAAAATACAACGTGATACAATGTCATCATTATTGAAAAACAGTTTTTTATGTAAAATATTCTACATTGAATAAAAATTGATCTACAACATTTAAACAATTTGTTCGTATTCAATCAAAAGTAAGAAAGAAAAAGAATCATTGATGAACTAGATGATTCTAGTTTTTCATGTCTAAACAGAGACAAATAAGAAAATTAAAATGAAAAAAAAGAGAATAGAAATAATATATTCATAAGACTTTTCTATAATAATCGAATAGAACGAAATTATTTTATTTTATTTTTTTACTAAATCATCTGGTAAATTATATTAAAATTAATTTAATTTCTACAATACTAGAGCTTTCAACAGATAATAAAAGTCATCACCATTAAGATTGTGTTGCTATTGAGCTCATCAAATATTCATAGGACTCTTTTCTATCAGGTTTATAGTAACAAAATTATATTGAGTTTACTACAATCTGCTAAATGATTTACTACAAGATAAAATAAAATTGTTTCATTTTATTCTATCATGAAAAAAAGAATCGAACATATAAATTTGTAAGAATCAATATAATATATTTAAGATTTGAACATATTCGACTTGGCGTGCTGCCAGCTCCACCACAGAGAGAAATAGAAGCGAGTTTGTGTCGCTCTACACAAAAACATGCAAATGTCTGTCAAATAATGCGAACGTTAGACAAAGGTTTTAGGAAAGAATAAAATTTAAACCAATTACTTATTTTGATAGAGCATTGAATGCTATAAAAAGTGAACTATTTGCACTCTGTTTTCTTGTTTCAATATAGTCAAGAGACTTCTTTTGCTTTCGACAGATCAGCAAAAGCATACCATTTTGTTTTTAAAATGTATCTTTCTTAGAGCAGCGATCGTACAGGCTAATGGACTGGAATTTGTTTTGTGTATAAGACACTTAGAGTAAAGTAAAATTTGAAAAAACTAACTGAGCCATTGAACAAAAAGGAAAGTTATTACGCCCATAGATGTAAAATCCCAATTGTACTAAATAGTGGAAATTCATTCATATAAGCATATTATTTAGTTTTGAAAAATAAATATAGCTGAAATTTTTACATTATTCAAATAAATATCAAGGAAACATTTGTATTTATAAAGCAAAAAATGAAGACAATTTGTATAATAATGATAAATGAATTCTTGATTCAACAAAACTACCATGAAAAAGTTAAAACGAAAATTTTTTCCGTATCCAGATCGAGAAGTACGGGCAGGTAGTGGTACTTTCCAGTAGGATACGATAAATTTTCCTGCATCTCTTCTGAATATTATTGAAGATGTATCGATTCTCGGGTGTGGGTGTGAGGTGTGGGGTGTGGGTGTGGGTGTGGGGTGTGGGTGTTGATCAAGAAAAGACTAACACCCACATCTGCATACCCTCACCCACACCCACACCCTCTTTTCTTCTTTTTTCTCCTTCTTCGACACCCTTCTAGAAAAGTCGCTGAGTACAATATAAGCGTGAGTGTTCTGCAGTTAAGTTATTCATTGCATCATCTTTAAAGAATCATACGACAAAAAAAATGAGTTCAAGGTCTGAGCTCAATATCGTCGCTTGCAATAGAAAGATGGAAAAATTATACCTGGATATTAACAAGATAAGAATAATTGCATTGTCATCGAGCTTTAACGATTTTGTTGTTTTACCAACTATATCAATTATCATCATCGATTCTTTTCTTTTTTTGCAGTTTTTTAATATGTAAAAACATAAAAATAGTTAATGAATCATAAATTATAATAACATCGCTTAGTAGCAGATATAGACAAGTTTACCAAGAATATCATTTAAATCAAAATGTATTTATTTTCAATAATATCGTTGATCATCGATTAAAATTTATACTGTATGTCAAAAAAAGAAATTAGTTAAAATTAGCTTTTCATTTCAATCTACGATAATAGAACTTATTAATTTATTATTTCAATTACAAGAAAATATTCGAAAAAAATACATGAGTTTAACACATATAACAACGCAGAAAAAGACAATAAGTTAAAATTTGTTTTATGAAAGCATCTTAGAAAATTGAAGCAAAACTCGAAGTAAAAAAAGAAAGTAAAGATCAGAACGTAAGAACAAAATTGAGTATCATTTTTGATTAACTATAAAACCAATAAAAATATTAGTAATAATTTTGATTAATACTTTGTTTTTTACTGTTACTTAAAACTAATAACTATATTACAAGTAAAACACTTGAATGTAAATAAAATATTTTTTCATTGTTTTGTCTTATGGATAATTAAATCTATACAAGTTATATTGATGTCACCGGAATAAATATATACTATGAAGTAGTTAATAATCATCTAGTTCAAATACGATAGGTGTTATTTTGTTTTTTTTTTAAATGGTGGAATATCTTCTTTAGATGATATTTGATAATAATGCATGAGATTATAACTATTAATTTTAGTTTTATGAAAAATATGTTCTCCAGTTTGTAATATTTGATTCAACGATGTATCTATATCAAAAAGATAATGAAAATATTTCAACTTGAGAACTTTTGATTAAATCTAATAATAATTTACCTGAAAGACATTGTTCATTTGTATGATTTCTTTTCTTTGGTTGTCCAGCAGTTATAATATCAATAAAGTATTTTGTGGATGAAAATGTTGAATCTAATTATATTGTATAACTTTTTATCATAAGAATGAAAAACATGGAAAATAATAAAAAAAACCTTCTTTTTTTTCAATATGACGATTGCTGATTGACCAAGCTTTTTTTTCTAAATAAAAATAGTAAAAATCGAAAGAATGATGAAGAAAATATGTAGATATGCTGTGAGTTCGAGAATTTCTGTGAAGTCTATTATTTTCAAAAATATCTCAGCAGAGATCAATCGTATGATCTTGATCTTCGCTTTTAAACATGCGTCATCGAAAATTCTATAAAATCTGTATGAGAAAGTTCCTATAGCGAAACAAGAATAGTCTTCCAATCACATATACTTAGGAATGCAGGACTATCATCTGACTTATTAACTTTTCATGACACATCATTTAAAAGATACTAAATGCGACACTCCGTGTAAATTCTCCGTTACTATAAGAATATCTGCAATTTAGTCGTTCATTCAGATTAATACCTGTAATATAATGTTTCCAACAAAATAGTTTCATGAATATATAATGGAATATATCATCCAATGAACACGTTAAATCATTGAATGGTAGTATTGTAGGATGTTGATTCACTATGATTTGAATATTTTGTTCTTAATATTTTTACAGAAAATATAATCAAAAAGAATATTTTTCTAAATGGTTAGCTTACTGTTATGTATGATAGACTGATTGATTTTATCATTGGTATTAATATTGTGCATTATTGTGTCTAAATAAAAACAAAAATCTATGTTTTCTGTCCATTATACGATCTGTAATGTTGATAATAGATTAAAATATAGAAAAATCAATTATTTTCTTTGATACCTTGACCAGTATTGTTCATATAACGAAATGTTAACGAATTATATGTCTTTAAAGTTTTAATATGCGATGGTGAGAATTTCGGAGCAAGACAAATTGAATCTAGACAAACAACGTTAAAGGAAAAATAATGAGATGAACAAAGATTTATTAAAAATATTTACCAGAACAAATGACAAGAATCATGAAAATTGCAATGTACAACCGTTTATTCATTAGCCCTAAACAAATCAATAAAAAATGTTATGTTATGCTATGAAAATTTTTCTTAATTTAAAATTAAAACATACATCGCATACCACGAAACACTCTTCTATCTAAAATATACAATAGATTATAGAGTAACATGTACAACTTCAAAATTATAATTGAAGAAAAAACCTATAATGACAATTTGCGATTGTCCAAGACGCAGATTAGATTCACTATTGTTGTTATCAACAGGTCCATCATGATGATTATTATCGGTATAAATAGCCTACCGTAATCCTTCATGAAATGATTTCCAAAATACTCAAATGAGATTATATATGCATATATAAGAAACAATCATACTTTCGTCATTATTAGCTGGATTGTATCGCATATCTTCAGCTTCTTGAGAAATATCTATAAAATAGAAGGAAAGTTTATCATATTTTAGTATTAATTAAATATTTCATATTGTTTCATAAAGATTCTTTATGAGTAAAAACTGTCAATATTCTTAACTCGAAATGTGTTGATAACTTCTTGTTCAAAAATCATAGAGTTTTCATTTCTGAAAACTCTTATAAGTTATGTAATATTGGTTAAAAAATTCTCAAATAAAATATTCGAATATTTATCATTGAACAAAATTTGTCAAAATTTTTTCATTAAAAGTATTTTAATCATAACGTGAATATTCTTTCAATGATAAAGATTTATGACAACTAGTTTTCTTTTTTTTTTCTTTATCGAAACAAAACCTATGCGCTAGATATAAATTTTTTATATTTACTCTCATCATCTAGATCCGTCATGAATTAAGAATCTTTTTTTTTCTTTGCTCTGAAAAGGGATTCTTTATCTGAAAATAATTAAAAATGAAATATTTTATTATTTCTAAAACTTTTTCATCATCTCGCATATTTATTTCTTTATTTGGTATTTAAATTTTTCGAGCAGAATGCTTTGAATATTAGTATTTTCATGGTTTCGCTTATTTCTGAATAATCAAAAATTGCACAACACATGAAATCAATATAGATTAGTTTGTATTGTTAAGAGTCTAATATTAAATACAAAAAAAAAATAAGAATTCCTATGGAAAGATCGAGTAAATTCTGTTAGACTAATATAAAAAAACTTAAATTTACTCAAAAAATTTCAGTTAAAAATGATTCAAAATATCTTGACGTAAAAACCTCAATCAATACAAACTCATTTTGTTTATTGTCAATCTCATCAGAATCTTCTATTGTGAATCTAATAGGAATTTAAATGGAAGGTATCATCTCATATGATTCATTTTCATTAACCTTCTTATAATTCGGAAACTGTCTATGAGAAAAAGTTCGATTGAATACTGAATAAAGCCGTAACAGTGCATAAACTAAAAAATAAAAAAGAAATGAGTTTTAATCAAAATATTGAGATTTATCAATCTTTTTCTAATAAATATGAATTGAGAAAGAGACCTTAAATAGTTGATAGAGTTGTATGTGTATACTCGTATAGAGCAAGAATAAAGATCAATCAATAAATTGAATACCTTTTTTCAAAATCTTGATCATAGCAATATGATTCATTATCAAAAATTAACGTGTTTTTCATTAGATATGAAGAAAAAAATAAATTAAAAAATAAAAACAAAAAAAGATACTTAACTAATTATCGATAGAGTAATTATTAATAAGAATACAGTATGACTACTAAAATTATACTTATAAATTAATAATCAAAATAAATTTATATATTAAAATATAATATCTTTGTTAATATTTAAGTTATGTATTTTAACCATTAATTAATTTTTATATGATAAAAAATTTGTTTCATATTGATTTATGTTTAATGTTTTATATAAAACAAAAGTAGTTTTATAGATTAACAGAATTTAGTTTGTCTCTACATCTATTGAATATAAATTTAAAGAAAAATCAAGAAACATTAAAGTGATCTTCATATTTCTCGTCATTTATGAATAATTTCTCTCATTATAAACAGTATTTATTAAAAAAAGCAAAAAAAAGGTTTTTACCATGTATTCAAATATATAAATAATTTAATAGTAAATGAAACTAAAATAATGGTAACATGGTTTATAAGTCGTAACTTCATCATTATATATATTAGTTAACGCAAGATAAAACAGAAATGATCTAGCATTAATTATCAAAATAAATAATGAACATTAAAAAAAAATACCTACTCACATTTGCGCTTCACATACGTAAATATTCTTTTATATTACTTGCGTCTCTTTTTTTTCACTTGAATGCATATGTTACGATCTGATTTTATTAAAAACATGATTGAGATTGGCTGTTAACAAGAAATGCATACATGATATAAAAAAGAATAGCTTTAAGAAACCAACTTCATCGAACACTTAATTGCTTTTTGTTTTGTTTTCACTCTTTAATTGAATAAGTTTTATATTTTGATACTTATTATCACCTATACTGACTGATTAACTTTGATTCATTTTTTAAAAGGCAAAACCTTATGTTTAACATATATATTTACCATTGAATGTAGAATTGTTGATCATACGTACATTTCTTGTTGTTTTTATGTAAACGTACTTCGTTCATTATAGAAAAACAGATTCATGTTAATACACGAAAAATTAACTATATTTGAATTTTAACTGATTCAATTAATAAGCTTTTTAATGATTTGGCAGACTCAGAATCACAATATACACTTATTATAAATATATGTAATATAAAAAAAAATTTTAATAAGTGTAAGTTCTATTTTCGAGCATCATTAAAAACAAATATGATAGAAAAAACCGATGAGAGTAATATCGCAATTAAGAAATTTTGATAAACCACATATCGATCGTTTACATAAACAAAATGATTATACAAAACATATGAAAAATAAATAAAACATAATTGAAAAGGTACAAATTATAAATATTTAATCAATGAATACACATGTTACTTATGAAATATAATGAATAATGATTGATATTGTATCGAATAATAAAATCAATAATAAAACATATCATTATAAAACGTAATGATAACTACACCAAAGAGATAAACTAAGAAATTACCGTTAGTTTATAAATATTAAGAAAGAACATAAATTGACATAGTTTGTTGGTAAATATCACATCATCAACAACTTCAATGAATTTTTATGCAGTTTTAATAAATTAAATTATTTTTAGAAAAAAAGTATAGAGAGAAAAAAAAAATAAAGTTTTGAAAGTATGTTTATTTTTAGTCAATACTAATAAAATAAATAAAAGAATTTTGTATGAAAAAAAAAAAAAAGACAAATGTTATATGAATTATGAGAATGTACGCTGTTCTAAACGAATAATTTTTCAATAATTGTTAATTATAAAAAAAAGAAAGGACGAAAAAAAGAAGTTTCTCGTTTGAGATTTTATGATTTATTGTAGACTAAAATGAAATTAATTTATTTTAAAATTTCAACAATATTTTATTTTTATGAGTTGATGTAGTTTTATTTTAATTTAAATTAATTTATATCTTAATAAGAAAAAGAAACAATCCTCTTTTTGGAATAATCATCATATATTTAATGAAGAAACATTCTAAATTTTTATATTATTTGATAGAGAATTCATTTTTCTAATCGAACAATATACTTAGTTCTATTAGTTTAATGTTTATCTTTACTCAAAAATTTAGTAAATTGATAGCAATAGTCTTCAGAAAAATCTAAATATTTATTTTTATGGAATGGCTTATAGTTATATAATTATCAAAATATTTCCTTGATAATGTGTAGCTAAATATAATAATAATTTATGCATTAATTAGTGTACTTTTATTTTTATTGATAAATAATATTAACAAGATAAATTTGATTTTTTATTCCATTATTTGAAAAAAGTTTTATTCTATATTTTAATTAACATTAAATTTTGACAGATCTCGTTCATTTAAATTCATTTTTCGAACATTTGAATTTCATATGAGTAAATAAAAGTTTAATTTATTTAACTTAATTAATATTCTCAGATTCTTATCAAGGTATAGTGGAAAAGAATAATTAATGCTCTACTAAATTATATAAAAATAAAATATTCTGAAAAATTTGAAGAGAAGTTAATAAAAACCTTGTGTATCATTCTATAGATTTAGACAGTTAAACGCATTATAATTTCTTAATGTGTTGCATTGATTTTAGAAAATCATTCATATTTTTTTTTTCTCAAAGTATCTCTATTGACTATTACTAGTAATAGACATACAAATACAAAAGATATTGTTATAAAATAAATTTCTAATAAGATATTCTAAACTTATTAACGAATTTTTGAAATATTTTACAATAATATCAAAATTTACGATTTTATAGATTATGAAGAAATTAATGAATTCACTTGTCTTAATGGAAATTCATACTGAATTCTTGTTTTCTGAAACATCTTTCATTGTGATTTTTCCATTAACTGTCTTCATATGAACTCATAGTACAATTAAAAATATATAAATATTGAAAAAGTAAATAAAGATCAAAGCCTAAGTATTCTTTTTCAATATGTAAATTAGCAAATAATCCAATAAAAACAGATGAATTCTGCAATATTTATTATTTTATAGTTAATTATCTATTTTCTTTTAAATTAACTCTATCAAAAGTTTTACAAATATAATCTAAGGTTAGATATAACTCAATGTGCTCGGAAGAAACTTCAAATAATTAAGTCAATATCATAGATTTAGATTTTCGTATAAATAATTCGCCCAAAGTAACACATCAACATCATAAAATTAATCATACGAGAAGTGTAAAGAATATCAAGATAAATATATTTGGAGTATTGAAGACATGCGTCTTGTTTTGTATATAAATATTTCGAATCATTATTTTCTCTTTTCAGTAGTTGTTTTGCATTACCCTCAAGATTAAAAGAAACTTTTTCAGTTGATTTTTATTCATAATGACAAGATAGAGACAAGTTTTTGTGAGATTGTTCATGCTAATTTTATCCATAACAGCAAAACTAATTCGCTCGGTCATTTAATTGTGAATCTTTTAGAAAAAAATCATTAAATTTGAGAACTGAAAAGAACAAATTCTATATAAAATATTAAAAGATTTATCATTTATTCAAATCGATTCCATAAATGATTTAGTAAATCATTTTAATAAATTCTAATTTTTTTATTGATAACATTTATTTTCATCAACTAATAAATTTTATCAATAATACTACTTAGAACTTCTCAATGTTCCTATTTAATCATGAAAAAAACTTATATCGTTCATCAAATGTTTAGTTTTCATCATCAGAAAAGTAAGTTGTATTCAAAGTAATACATACGATTGTCTTATAATCTTTTACTCTACCAATCGCCTTTTTTCTTTTTCTTCTCAGTACAAATTACGCGTCCTCCGGGATCGCACACGGAAATAAGCAACTGTCTTATTAGGGGATCCAATTTATATCACTAAATATGGCGAACAAACACATTGTATAATCTTCCATTAATATTATAAATATTAATAAAAAAAAAGTTAAAGATAATATTTTGTAGTAGATGAAGCCTGAAATTTCATTTAATTTGTTGTTTCACAAAATTTGTCAGATGGAAAAGTCTCCATTTCAGTACGTTATGCAATTATTGTTGTGAAAATACATCGATTATTTATTCGATAATAATAGAAAACATATTATATAATAAATATTATAAAATGTTATAAAAGTTTTTAGCAAAAATCAAATGTCTTTTTTTTTCGTTTGAATAAATAGATTTCATATTGTTTGCACATACGAATTATAATACTTTTTCATTTTTACTTTTCAATGAAAGACATGAAAAAAAGCGAATTCTTTATTCTAATTACTTTAGATTCAAATATAATTTATTTCCTAATGATAGATATAATGTACTTACTGTATTGTTTTCAAAAGAATTGCATAAGACACTTATACCTCGTAAGAATGATTATTGCTCGAATAATATGCGTAAAGAATTGTCACAAAAATACTCTGTAAAATATCAAAAGTTTAAAGAATTAGTTTTCTCCATTTTTTGGATCAATAACAAATGATCTCAATCAATTTGTATAGTATCGATTAATTGTTTGTCTTTGAGAAAATTGAAACTCGACGAAATATATATATATATAAATAATAGTAAATTCTATGTATTGAATACTTGAAAAATCAGAAAGAAAATCTATATCACGTGAACATTAATAATAATTTACTAATGTGTTCTAGAAAAAAATTGACAGAGACAATTATGACTAATGAATGACAAGGAATATATCGAGGTTAAAAAACGAATAAGTCGGTCAGTAAAAACGTCTGGGACAAAAGGATAAAAAAAAATAGAAAGAAGTTTCTAGAATGATGTCATAGATTAGTCAATACGTCGTTCCTATCATTTCTAAATTGTCTTTTCGATAAGACAAAAATAAATTGCAACAAGAATATGTAATGACATATAACATTGTTTGGTACATAAAAGCATTTAGTACATTTAACTATGGAAAAACTCAACTAATAATTATAAAAATAAGAACAAATAATTTCTTTTATATATTCTATATAATCATCTTATCTTAAATGAATTAAATGTTTATTATTTCTTTCATTTACTTGAAAAGAATCTTTTATATATGTTATTTAAAAAGATTATGGACAAAAATCTTTTTTTGTTTAACTTTCATTATTTTATACATCTAAGTATTATTTTAAAATAAAATGATTATTTAGAAGAAATGAATGATTGACATTATTTATTATTTCTTTTAAAGATAATAACTAATTAGAAAATATTTTTTCAATATATAATTATTTTCATCTAACATATCAAGAGGATAAACTTATTTTGTAATTTTAAAATCAACAGAATTTCATAGTTTCATCATATTTAAACGTTAAATCTGATTAAATCTAGAAAGATATAATTTAGATTTTTGGACAAATCAATCACAGGACATTGAATGGGAAATCCAACTGATGACTTGAAGAAGATTCTAAAAAGTTTTAGATTAGAAAGATCTTTTGTAAAAATATAAATAATTTTTGATTGAATTTTTATGATTTTAGGATATTCACTTGACATTAATCCTTTCGATTGTTGAATATATTATATTATTTACTAATATAAAAAGATGTTTTTGACATGTCGATTATAAATTAAATGGGAAAGTATTTAACTATTTTATCAATAATAAAATATATTGATACACACAGGTGCCATGAAAAATAAACACTTATAATAATAATAATAATATGAAGTTATTTTGACTTTGATTCATTGAAAAAAATATTCTTGAAAATTTGAAAATAATTATTTTTGTTATAGAAATTAATCATAAATTTTAAAACTATTCTAAAACTTTTGAGATGTTGTTCTAATAACTTCATAATGCTAATATAAAATGAATATTCATTTCTATATTCACAAAGATTATTTATAATTTATACTATTTTACGAAAAAAAATATTTAAATAAATTTATATTAAATGGAACAATAACAAAATTAATAGATATTGTCTTTCAAGCAAAATATTTCTTTAATATTAACATTCTAATAATATTAATCTGTCTTACTAATCTTAGTCGTTTAATAATATTTCTCTAGAAAATATCAATGAAAAAATTATTCAATGAAATTAAAATGTCTAAGTCATGGAATATTTCATTTGTAATAAAAGGTAATTCTATATGCATACAAGAATATTTTAGAGATATTTAAATATCTTTAATTAATTTTTCTTGAATAATTTAAAAAGAAACAGAGTAAATTATAATTTGTAAACTTTGCAAATAATATCATTTATGAGAGATCTAATGAAACTCACCTTGTTCGAGAAAAAGCTATAATAATATTCGATATATCATTGGTTTTACTTATAAATATTATTATTCATCAGTTATTTTCTTATGAAAGACATGATAATTAGTTTATTGCTTCAAAAAATTGACTTTAATTAGTTCCGACAAAATAGATTCAGTTTATCGACATCACAGAATTCATACTATGATCAAATGTATATTTTATCGGAACTATATAGATCTTTATTGAAATAACAAATCAGATAAAAATCCAACAAAAAACAGACATTCCATCGGGATCGTAAATTCACCACTGTTACATTGATTGTTTTTTTTATCAGAAGAGTTGCACACCAAGAAAGAGAAAAGGTTTAAATACTTTTCGTTCTCACTCAAAATAGATTTCTATTCAAGATTTCTAATTTTAACATAAGCATATGGTATGATAGTGTAAAATATCTTAAGATTATAAATTGTTGACACTATTGCACAGTTTTCAACTCATTGCATTATTAAAGATGACTAATTATCTTTTTTTTTTATTTGAACGCTTTCGAAAATATGCTATTTTTGCATATCGAATAACTAATATTATTAAAACACTATTTTAAAAACGAAATTAATACATTCAACGAAAGTGATCATGAAGGAATGCTTAATTACATACGACAACTCCAGCGAACCCACCCTCCTCCGAAAATAATAATAGAAGTTTTGATATACAAGTGCACATCTTTTTCTACTATCTGAACTATTTCTTGATTGTTTTTCTGAAGGGTCAAATGAAAAGTTAACTAAGAAATGTTTCCTAAAATATAGAGACAATTGTTGAAATAAATTTTTAAAAGAAAGACTTAGATTCATTAGTGAGTTATGTTTTCCTGAGCAAATAGAAATTAAACCATATACAAAAAATATACATAAATAGCACAGATTACTAGCTTGATTGTTTTTAGCAGCCCATACATTGAAGATTACTACAATCAACAGTTCATACTGTTGTACTGTTTTTTTTTTCATTTATTCTAGCAATGCATTCCGAGGCTGCTTCATAACTCGAATTCAAGAAAAACATTTGTTGAAAAGATTCATTATGCAGGAGAGGAACAATTATTATTAGATCTACACTATCATACCAACATATGCTTAAAATATCATTTGGAAATTAAATTTATCGAATGAAAAATCGATTTTTGAGTGGAACGAGAGTCTCTAAACCTTTTCAAGCTGAGATGAAAGTTTCGAAAGAAAAGAGAAGAATAAACTTTAAACGAAAAAAAAAATGTTTCATAGATTGATTAAAATGACTTGTGTATTAAGTCCTACAGATAATAGCATCCCTGTTTAATTGATACTTGTGTCATTTGACTCACTACTGGAATCAACAGGAGCTATTCGTTGTTCATTTAATACAGGTACTTGAGAGATAGCACCTTCTATTGCACCATTAGTATCTTCCACTGAAGAACTATTTCGAGCTTCCACTACTTCATTAAGTGATACAACTATAGAACAAAGAAAGAAAAGCATTTCATTAAATTAATTAAATCATACCTTACTAGTATCTGTTCTCGTACGTTCTTCATCAGCACTATTTGTTTGATTAATATCATCATTAGTATGAACATCACCATTAACATTTTGATTACTTTCTAGTATTTCATCTAATAATTATAATAGAATTTAAATTAAAAAACAAAAGATGAAAATATTTGTCTAATGTACCTCTTTGTTCATTTTCATCAGATGAATCATATTCATCATCACTTTCTGAATCAATAATTGCATCTAAACATAACATATATTATATTATATTAAGTTTATCTGATCAAGTAATTATAAATTTTTAAGATATGGTTTTATGAGAAAAAAAAGTTAAATCTACCTTCGTCTTCACTACTATCATTCAAGTGTATATCATCTTGTGGCTGAATCGAATTCAAAGAATTTATATTATCTTTAAAAAAAAGAATACAAAAGCAAATAGAATAGCTTTTTTATATCAAGAATAGTATTTAACTTACAATATGTGTCATCAAGAGCAATTTCAGATATATCATCTCTGTTTAGGTGTAGTACATTTTCACCTAAATATTTATATGAAATAGTAAGTATCAGATAATATTAATACGAAAACACAACTACTGACCTATATTTTGATTTTGAGGAATGACATCTTCATTCTCATGAACATATAATGTTCCATTTTCATTAACATTTCCATTTTCATGATCTATGACGAAATATGTAGGTCGATTATTATTTAAATTTGTTAGAACTCTTGGATCGTGTAGTTGAGTATCTGGTATTCCTAAGAGCACATCATCATTATCATCATCATCATCATCATCAACAACTACAAATGAAATGTTAATATTTTTAAATAAAATATTTATAGTTACTTACCGGTCACAGTAGGAGAAAATGTTATATCTTCATAAGTTGGATCTAGAATAATTCATTTTATATATTAAATTATTGAATTTTCTATTTCGAAATTAAAACTTACGATCTATACGACCTTCTAGTTGTGCGTCTCGATCCAAACGAAAATTATCTGTTATAAATAAATAAATATTAACCATAAGAGTTAACGTAATAAAAATCTCACAATTAATTCGTATGTCGAACGATGATAATTCAAATAGATATATTTGCGTCATAGATTGATTTAGGTAATCAATCATTTCATTACTAATAAATACAAATAATATTAAGTTATAAAATCGATTAAAAAAAATAAACAAAATCTTGATGACACTAACTCAACTTCTAGCAATACTGGCCGTTTGTTATACGCAATAGATCGATTGACTTCTTCATCTAAAATATAAACAATTAAAACAAGAATGAATTCATAGAATGAACTATACTTGTCATTTCTAATAAATTATTTGATATTTCATCTGTAGGTTGTTCTCCATTGTCTGAAGTATATAAAAATGTATTAACATGAAAAGTAATTTTTGACGCAATGTAATGTCTATGATTGATTTTTCATCAAATCTTACTTATATTTTTCATACTTACTATCAGAAGAAAAGCCATTATCATTATTATAATTAAAGCTAGGCATACTCTGTGAACCAAATACAAGATGGCACAGTATAATAAATTTTAAAAAAAACAAGTTAGCCATATTATTTTGATCTAAGAATTTTGTTTATAATGTATAAAATTTGATGACAAATTATACTATTACTTGATTTTGTTTACTTTAAAATGAACAAGATCCCTTGATTAAACTAAAACGATAGTTATCTATAATAAAAATAAAATCGATTGATAGACAATCAAATCTTTTATTATTATTTTTTTGTATTAGAATTTTTGCATTCTTTTAAAATTGATTATCTCTGTTTGAATTTTTATCTAACAATAATATATGACTTTAAAGATTTATTTTTCACGCCCATTTTTTTGCTTCTCTGTTCAATCATGTACATTATTTATAGTTTTTCTTTTTTCATCATGAAACATTGCACCATCAAGGTCTTCTACTTGTCGAAACCAAAAATTATAAGCATTTCCTAACGTTACTACAGAACGCAAAATCTAAATAAAAATAAATATGCCCTTTTCTCCCTATAAAAAGAAACGGCAGTTTGCAAAAAAGAACAGATGAAGAAAAAAACAACATCGAGGCAAGTATCATATTATTGCGTCTTTCATACAAATTTCGTTTTAACATGAATAAAATATGAATCATCTTAAATAAAATTATTATTACTCTTGTAGACAAGGAAGAAAAATCATATCTGATTGCAGATGAAGAATAAATATTTGAGTTTTTAATATTCTTTATGTTCAGAGAAAAACAAGATCTTTCGATCTCAATGAAATTCAAAGAAAGATTGATATCTGTCCCAGAATTATCAATTTCATATCTAGCTATATCTTTTGAAACATTTGAGTTAATTTCTCTTTTTTTCACAGAAAAACCTTGAACACTACAGATAAAAATAAAATTTTAAATATCAATAGAATTTTATCTAATAACCTAAACCTGTTATTCCATTATATTATTGTGAAATAAAACTAAAAATATAGATCAAATTAAATAGCATATTTCATTTATTAATAAATGTCTCATTATGATATCTTGTTACATGTTACAATCAATAGTCAATTATCGATTTGTAGCTAACATAAATAATTTTTTGTTTTTAATTCTATTCAGTGGAATAGAATATAGATATCTTTTTACCTTATCATTCTAAGAAAATATTTTTTTTACAACATATACTTTGGAACAAGATATATCAACATATCAAATATTTAACTATATAAAGTTATTTAAACTATTTTCTTATTTATTTAGATTATGTTATTTTAATGTGAATATTAAAATAAATAATATATTAGTTAATATTTATGATTTTAAATGTAATACAAACATGAAATTATTTTCAAAAATAAATATTAAAAAAATTACATTAGTCGATGATGTCTTTATGTCATATGAAAATCAATCATAATAAAAGAATTGACGTATGTATCTCTATTTATACAAAATCAATACAATCAATGCATAAATCTTAAAATAAAAACCAAATATTAGCACTTACAATTCAAGAAAATATGCTACTATACTAGGTAATAAATGGTTTAAAATAATAACTAATAATGCATTTTAGCGATCAATTTATATCTACTGTTGATACACTATTCTTCTTTTTCTCTACTCCTACTTAAACAAAAATACTTTTATTGCTTTTTATCCATCAGGCGACTCTTTTTCTCGTTCTTTTTCTCTCGATACGTTTTTTTCTCGCGCTGGCGGCCGGAATTGTCTACTCACATATTATTGTAGTCTATCAATACATAGAGACAAAAATGATAGGATACACAACAACGTCGTGAAATTAATCAAAGAAGAAAGAAAATCTATAAAAGAGAAGAGAGATGATGAGTAAAATATTCGTTCAGGGCTGGCCCGATAGGGGGTTTTTGGGGTTGTGACAACCCCCTAATAATGGAAAATTTTCGTTTTTACCCAGCAAAAATGAATTTTTTTTCGTGATTAGTGTTAGAAAATGTTTTATTCGTATTAAAAATATCCGAAACAACCCCCCAAAAAATCGCAACAACCCCCCAATGTTTGCTGACTCGGGCCAGCCCTGTATTCGTTAAAATGAATTTTTAATAACACGAAAAACTTTTCACATTAACATTTAGTGAAGAGCACGAATAACAATTATGAAGTGCATATAATTGTCATTTTGTACTAATTTTCATGATAATTTTTTTATCTGTCAATTTTATAATGAAATATTCGATACGTTTATTCTCTACAATTTAATATTGAATGCTTTAGCTGACGAAAAATAAACTTGATTTAATATATTTAACTGGATAAAAGATGAATAATCTGCAAACTAGAACTCCTGAAATCTTTAACTTTTCCCAGTATCATATTCATCGAAGTTTTTAGGATGAAAGAAACAGGTGCAGATTTCTTTTTTCTGTACACAGTTTTCATTTTCTTTAACTGATGTTTTAATCTCTTCAAACAGAACTACTATTTTCATCATAGAAAAGAAATATATCCAAATTTATTTTTCACATAACCCTATGAATACGATTTTCTTGATGACCTTGTCTTTCTTTCTTTCGTATTTCATTGACATTTGTTTTTCTTTCTGTGGTCTTGACAGCTATTTTGAGTCCACAGAAAGATGCTTGTTTGTTCGTTTCTACATGCCCTCTGGTCAAAGTGGAAAGGACTAGGACTACGCCATTTAAGATTGCAAGAAACTATGATAGTGTTGAAATAACTTTAAATAATATAAATAATAATATAGATATCAATTATAAAATAATGAAAGTCAATAATACGTTTTAAAAATACTTCTATCAATTTTTTAGAATGAATAAATAGAGAAAGAAACAAAATTCTAAACATGCGTACAAGATTTGTAACTAGACAAACATTAAGTCATAATTGAAATAGAAAATAACTATTATAACTAGCATTTTTGACAATACATTTTATTTTTATTTTTTCTCGAAACTTTTTTTTTCATAATCTAGATCACATTATGATAAAAAAAACTAACTCACACTTTATTTCATATGATAGATAGTATTCTAGAATTTTTTTTTCTTTATGATTTACACTATATATGGATAAGTTTACAATTAAATGTTTATCTTTTTGTTTTGAAAAAAAAAATTATTTTCTTTCTTTTTAAAAGAAAAAAATAATTATAAGTGTATGTTTTATTTTATAGATTATCAGTTAATTGACAGACATTTTTGGTATGAAATAACATTGAAATAACTTCAATACACTATTATATTGTCGTTAATGCGAAAACTTTTTTTTTCTTTCTTACAAATTGCATAAAAGCAAACAAGTTTATAATATATCTATGATGAAAAATTTACTTTATGATAAATAAACAGAACATTGTGTGACTGTGGTATTACATTTGAATAACATAGTAGTTATTTGGACCTATTTTTAGAAAAAAAAATAATCTGAGCACAAAATGAATAATGTCTCATAGAGTCATTGATCGATATGTTTATATGTATAAATAGTTATCAGTAAATTCTAAATAGGTCTTTCAATTGAAAAAGGAAAATAAGAATCAATTTCTTTATAGTCTGGATTCACTGCGAACAAAGTTGAGAATGTAAAAACGTAAAGGATATAAATCAATAAAAAAAACTGTAGACAATCGACTATTGAGAAGATAAATTCATTTGATATAATCAAAATTATTTTTAAATATTAAATAGAATAATTGTATCATACGAAATATGTTATCTAATCTATACAACAATAGTAAAACAAAAGATATTCTAATAAATTCGCTACTAAATAAATATCTAAACTAAATAAATTCGGTATTCAACAGATAAATCATAATTAAATGATGTAAAATTATTTTAAAGAATCTTCTTAACAAACTATTTAATACTTGGTTGATATTATTCTATTGACATAAAAATTCTATGTTAAGTAAAACTCATTAATGTTTTCTTCTTTTCTTTTTAAGATACTCACATGTGTTTTATATGGATTGTTGTCCTCATCTTCACAAATCTAATGACATACTGTTCTATAATGCAGTTAGTTATTGAGTTACTTACTAAGGTTTGTTGAATGTTTAGCTAAACCACTTGTATTTATATGTCTGTTGGTTGGCAGTTAGCCAGACAGAGAAGGGTAGAAAAAGTAAGAGACACAGAAAGAGAGAGTAACAGACACAGAGAGTAAGAGTACGGGACACACCGAGAGAGAGTAACAGACACAGAGGAATAAATTAGACGCAATAGTTAAGAGGGTAAACGATCGTATCCGACGTCATTCCACGTCGTCCTTTCTACTTGCTATTTTTTTTGTTTTCTGACACATTGAGAATAGTGAATCAGTAGTATAAGTAGCGCATTTCTGTTGTGAAATTGCTACGCCATTTTTACGAAATCATGTGACAAAGCGATGAGTTCAAGGTCTGCACGTAGCATCGTTACCTGCAGTAGAAGAATGAAAACATTGCATCATACATATCAACTAGAAAAGATAATTTGCATTGCATCGGAGTTTTAACTATTTTGCTAATTTATCAAAGATATTGTTTACTATGGTCGACTTTTCTTTGTTTTCAGTCTCTTAAGAGAGGGTCCGCGAGAAGACCACCCTTCTCTCCATACAGGTCGCCGGGGAAAAATTTTTTTTTTCGATTTTATTTTCTTAAATGATAGGTCTAGGTAACCTATATTTAAATCCAAAATATTAGCGCATTTGGTCTTACCTATGAAAAATGCGAGCTAAAACAAGTGTAAGAGGGTCAAAATTGACCCTAAAAAAATAGCTAAAAATGGGTGTGCTCAGTATTTTGACATTTTCTCACGAATGGTTTGGCCATTTGAGATCGGCCACATTTCATTAGATAGAGGGTAGTATAGGCTACAAATTTATCTAACTTTGATGATTCATATCTAAGGTTAAAGAAATCCTATAGATCAAAAACCTTCAAAATCTCAAGAAACTCGACACTCTGGAATACCAGTATTTTGGGCTTTTCTTGAGTTGTGCAAGTGGTGCCAAACTTCTTTTTTTTATCAGATATAGATCTTGTCAAGATACATCTTTTGACATTAAATTGTCAAGACGAAAAACTCGGGGGCCAAGTTAGTATAGACCACACTGTCTCCAACCTTACCTAGTCACCATTGATCCTACCCCACAAAGATATACAATTTCTACAGAAATCACGAAAATCGACTTCAGATTCGTGTTCAGCTTAAAAAACTGGGCTAGATAGGTTATTTCAAATTGCTTCCTTACGTGTATCAAGTGTGTTAATGACCATCTGTCCACTTCATGGCTATATGATACATATATACAACGGTGTTTTGATAATAATTCAACAATAATAATAGCTATCGATTTCTAGTTTTTACCACTCGATAGCCTTTTTTAAAAAGCTACAAAATTATATATTTTTGAAACTTATAACTCTTGATCATCTGAGGCATACCAAGGCACATTGATCTTGGAACACGATTTTCTGCATTTTTGCCCCTGTTTAGCCCTTTTTTTGTTACAAAACAACAAATTGAATCAAAATTTAAATATAGGTTACCTAGACCTATCATTTAAGAAAATAAAATCGAAAAAAATTTTTTTTCCCCGGCGACCTGTATGGAGAGAAGGGTGGTCCTCTCGCGGACCCTCCCTTAATATTAAAAAAAATCATAGATGTAACGAGTCATAAATTGTAATAAAATCATTTATTCATAGGTATGAGCAAACGAATACCAAGACTGTCATTTAAATCAAAACATTCTCATTGTCGGTAATATCGTTGATCATCAAGTAAAATTTATATTGTATATGTCAAATAAAGAATTTAGTTAACATTATATTGTTATTTCAATTTACGATGACAGAACTTAGAAATTTATTATTGCAATTATAATTTAATACTCGACAAAAAAGAACATAAGTTTAAACGCATGCAAAACAAAGAAAAAGTCCTGTAAACTAAAACTTATGTTTTGAAAACACATTAGAAAATTGAAGCAAGACTAGAGAGAGAAAAACAAACAGTAAAGCTCACAATGTGAGAACAAAATAGCGTGTCACTCTTATTTAACTATAAAATCACTGAAAATTCGACACGAAGTATATTTATCCATCACCGGGACATCTATATACTCATGAATGATTGAGAAAAATAAACAATATTAACAATTCTCTAGTTCAGATACGAGATTTGTTAATTTTCTTTTTTTGAACTATGGAATATTTTCTTTTAATGATTTTTGATAATAATGGATTGACTGTTGTTGATTTGTAACTTTTATGTTTGTTGAATGAAGAGAATGTATAAGATTTTCACTATTAATTTCTTTTTTATGAAAATTATGTTTCTTAATTTGTAATGTTTGATCAAACGATGTATCTACAACAAAAAAAAATAATAAAAATTTTTCAATCTAAGAATTTTTTTATGAAATCTAATTATAATGTACCTGAAAGACATTGTTCATTTTTAAGATTTCTTTTCATTGATTGTCCATCAGATATAATATCAATAAAGTCTTTTGTGCATGACAATGTTTCATCTAATTATATTTTGTAATTTTTTATTATAAAAATAACAAAAATATAAAAAATAATAACAAACCTTGTTGTTTTTCAATATAACCTTTGCTCATTGACTTAGCTGTTTTTTCTAAATAAAAATAATAAGAATCAAAAGAATGATGAAGAAAAAATGTAGTTATGACAGATGTAATAGAATATTTATAATATTTAGCATTTTAAAAATATCTCAATGGAGATCAATCGTATAATCTTCATTCTTTTAAGACTATTTTTGTTTTACAAAGTATTTCACCTTGCAAAAATGACAACATCTGGAATTTTTTTGTCGAAAGATGTAGAAACATTCACACCCAAGATAGTCTTTCAAATACTTTAGGATACAAGACTGTTATCTGATCAATTAATTCTCAATGGTAGGAGACATCATCAGAAAAAAATCAATAGAAATTTTTTCTTTCAGTTTTATTAAAAACTTTTCACAATGAATCCTTGAAAAAAAGAACTAAATGTCGTAAAACTTCTGATATACTTCGTATAAATTCTATATCACTATAAGAATAAATCTACAATTTTGTTGTTCATTCAGAGTAATACCTGTAACATTATGTTTCCAACAAATTGATTTCATGAATACAGATCGAAATTTATCATATGATGTACACATTGAATCATTGAATGTTAATATTGTAGAATATTGATTCATTATGTTTTCAATATTTGATTCTTAAGATTTTTATAGAAAATATTATTAAAAAGAATATTTTTCTAAATTATTAGCTTACTATTATGTATTATTGTGTTTAGATAAGAAAATCTACGCTCTTTTCCCATTATCCAATCTATAATGTTGATAATAGATTATTGATAGAAAAATCAAATATTTTCTTTTATACTTTGATAAGTATTGTTCATATACCAATATGTTAACGAATTATATTTCTTTAAATTTGTAATACGTGAGAATGAGAATTTCGGAGCAAGATAAATTGAAGCTAAATAGACAATACAAAAAGAAAAATAATGAGATGAACAAAGATTTATTAAAAATATTTACCAGAAAAAATGACAAGAACCATGAAAATTGCAATGTACAATCGTTTATTCATTATCCCTAAACAAATCAATAGAAAACGTTATGTTATGTTATGAAATTTTTTTTTAATTTAAAATTAAAACATACGTCGAATATTACGAGACGCTCTTCTATCTAAAATATACAATAGATTATAGAGTAACATGTACAACTTCAAAATTATAATTGAAGAAAAAACCTATAATGACAATTTGCGATTGTCCAAGACGCAGATTAGATTCACTATTGTTGTTATCAACAGGTCCATCATGATGATTATTATCACCTTCAATAAGCTGCTCTAGTATGTCATCTAATTATTTCCAAAATACTCAAATGAGAATATGTATATGGATGTACAAGAAACAATCATACCTTCGTCGTTTTCAGCTGGATCGTTTCGTATTTCTTCGGCGTCTTGAGAAATATCTATATAGCAGAAGACAAGTTTATCATATTTTAGTATTAATTAAATATTTGATATTGTTTCATAAAAACCCTTTATAAGTAGAAACTATCAGTATTCTCAACTCGAAATGCGTTCGCGACTTCTGGTTAAAATATCATAGAATTGTTTTCTTTTGAAAAGTCATACGATTTATGTAATATAAGTTTAAAAATTCTAAAATAAAATGTTGGAATATTTATCACTGAACAAAACTTGTCAAAAAATTTTTTATTAAAAATATTTTAATCATTACATGAATATTCTTTTAATGATAAGGATTTATAACAACGAATTTCTTTTTTTTTCTTTATCGAAATGAAACCTATGAGTTAGATATAAATCTTGTATATTTACTCTCATCATCTAGATCTGCCATGAATTAAGAATCTTTTGTTTTTGCTCTAAAAAGGAATTCTTTATCTGAAAATAATTAAAACTTAAATATTTTATTATTTTTAAAACTCATTCGTCGCATTGTACATTTACTTCTTTATTTAATATTAAATGTTTTCGAAGTTCCGTTTATTTTCTCAATCTAGATTAGTTTTCTTGGTTAAGAGTCGAGTGTTGCATACAAAAAAAAAAAGAATTTCTGTGGAAAGATGGCATAAACTCCTATCATTCAAAATTACTCGACATAAAAACGCAACCAAAACAAATTCTTCTGGAACGCCTTGTTAGCCATTATAGTCTACACTTCGATGCACGATAAGAATTTTCGAAGAGACGTTTGGACAAAATTTGTTGAAAGATCGATTACGATGCAACTCGTTAAGCTGTCTCCAATGGCGTATTCTAATTTTTCATGGCTCAAGCTGTTAGTCAATTGATTTTTTTTTTGAATTAGGATCGCTATAGTCAATGGTCCATTCTCAAATGTTTCTCAGCAAAATATTAAAGATAACGGTCTCATTTCGATGAAATGCTCTTTGACTGCTTCAAAACTGAAATGGCATAAACTCGTTCTATTGACCCATAGAATGGTTCAGAAGGTTTTCTATCCAGATAGCGAACAACTTTTGAACTGAGAAGAAAGTATTTTATACTATTGTGAACCAGTAAAGAATGGATTTCTTTATATTTAGAACTTTTCTTTTTGTTTATGAAAATGTTCGCTAGATCATAGAACATATTCCTTATGTAGAAGACAAATTTCTATATTTTTATGAATGCAATTATCTTGTGTTGTTCTTAAAAGTATTTTTCATTGGGAATGGATTGATTAAAGAATGCGTTTCAGAAAAGTAATCTTTTTTTTTCAAGAAAAGAAAGCTTTCCAACAAAAACTGGAACAGTTAAGAACGTACTCGAAACAACATGAAATGTGTTCTTAATGATTCCATTTTGAAATCCTTTTAATTTTTGTTGGGACGTTTTCTTTTATTAAAAGCAGATCTTTGAAATAAACATTTTTCACTGAGTATATATATATAAAACAGGAAAAGAAAAAATTATTAGAAGACTAATGCAATAAAGAAAGCATTTTCATGATCTCACCACATGTATATATCCATTGGATATACGTAAGTTAGATTATCATGACATCATTTGGCGTTATTCAATCGGTGTATTATTTTCGTATTGTTGATGAATAAGATGGAAGATCTCTACACAACATCAATTGGAATTGAATAATACCTAGTTTACACTAGAAAAATAATGCGGTATTAGTAACCTTGAATCATATCGAGATCTATCCACACTATATAGTTAGTTAATGCACCCACCCGAAGTTAGATTTTGTTTCTCTCATGTAGTCATAATACATATATACGAAACAATTACGCCAACGAAAATGTCACGCTTCTGCTTAAGCAGTAAGAGATAAATCACTACTGATGTACCAGTTGTTTGTGCAAAAGTTAAATTTAGTTAACTTGATTAATATTTTTATAAAGATATGACAGAAATGAAAAGAAAACTATAAAGTAGGAAAGAATAATCAAATCAATGCTCTACTAAGTCATATAGAAAAAAAATATTGTGAAAATTTTATAAATAGGGATAAATCTACACAGTGAAAAGTATTATAATTTCTTAATATGGTGCATAGATTTTAGAAAATCAGCCATGTATTTTTTTTTTAAATATCTTTATTGACTGTTACTAAATACAAAACATGCCATTAAAAAATACGCGTGTCATCAAACACTATATGCTAGATGACGATCGTTTTCATCGTAGGTAAATGATATTCTTTACTAGTCATAGATTTGTTTTTTTGTAGAATATCTGACTCGAATTATTAGAAACAAGAGCAAGACACTTATTTATTTTGCAATAATATCGAAATTTAACATATTAAAGATTATGAAGAAATCAATGAATTCACTTGCCTTAATGGCAATTCATACTGAATTCTTGTTTTCTGAAACATCTTTCATTGAATTACCATCAACTCTTTTGAGATGAATCCATACTGTAATGAAAAAAATAAATAAATATTAAAGCCTGGTTGTTTTTTTCATAATGCAATTAGAAAATAATCCAATAAAAACAAGTGAATTCTGAAATATTTACTAAATGTTCTCGGAAGTAAAACAGTATGTTATATTTTGATTTGGTGCAAAACATATTCAAATTGACACGTTGATGAGTAAGGTCAGTCATGTGAAAAGATATAGACTACAGCGATAAATTTATTCTGATTATTTGAGGCCCACGCCTTTTTTGAATATATACTTTCGTTTTTTTTTATATAAAAACGCCCAATCATTTTCTATTTAATAATGACGCAATCATGAAAAAAAACCAAACTACAACATATCCCGCAATAAATGATGAAAATCTCTCACTCACTAGTCTAAACGTTCGTTGTCACAAATCATGTCGATGAAACGATAAACCAGTAGTCCAAAGTTTTCTCGATGAGTAATATATGCGCATTTTTATTTACGTGAACAAGG